CTTCAGAGCCCTCCCCTAAACCTCAGTGCCAGCCCCATTGGCTGCCAGGGCCATGAGCACCAGCACAGCTGCCCAGGCAGAGCCAGCCTGAGACATCTCCAGCCTCAGCTCACACAGCCTCGTCCTGCTGCTGCTGCTGCACCCACTGCTGCACACTCTGGGCCTCACTGCTGGCACCATGCAGCCCCCTCGCTGCTGCTTCCTCCTCCTCCTCCTCCTCTACGTCTTCCTTCTCTCTGGGACATGGGCAACTCTGGAGGGTAAGTGGGAGCCTTGGCTCATCCACAGCTGCTGCCGTGCCCCTGTGGGACTCCCTGGGCAAGAGGCTTCCTGCTCCACAATCCACTTTTGGCTCTTCCTTCCTCACCCCTCCTCATTCCCTGGCTCCACACCTCCTCCTGGGCAGGGATGCAGCCACCTGGGCTGGGTGCAGGGGGTGGGAACCGGGGCTGCCAAGGCTGTGGGGGCCTAGGGGGGCCCACAGATCACTGCAACCTCAAGGACCTGCCTGGCAGCCCCTCCACTTTCCCTGTGCCTCTCCTCTCACTCCCATCTCCTCCCTGTCTCATGTAGGGACCGTCACTGTCCGACTGCTCCAGACCTCCACCTTCCAAAACACCTCCTTTGTGGAGACAGAGGGGCTGGGCCTGCTGGAAGACATCCAACTTGGTTCTCTTGATAAGCACACCTGGTCCATCCACTTCCACCAGCCCTGGGTGCGTCCAGCCCTGCCCCGCATGGACTGGGACACCATTGACAACATGCTCAAGATCTATTTGCAGCAGTTCACCCAGCTGGTCAATGAAGGGGCCATGCAGAGGGATGTACCCTGTGAGTATCCAGTCTTCACTGCCTCCCCTCTCTGAACAGCAGCTGGGGAGTGGGGAAGGATCTGGCAAGTGCTGGCACTGTAGAGGGGACACTGATCATGTCCACAGCAAGGCAATCCCAGCCCCTCCTGCAACCTCTCTCTCTCCTCTCTGCCCCTCCAGACCCCTTTGTGGTTCAGTGCATTGCAGGTTGTGAGCTCTACCCCAACAGGACCTCTCGGGCCTTTGGCTATGTAGGCTACAACGGGCAGGATTTCCTCAGCTTTGACACAGACAATGTAACCTGGACCCTCTCCCAGGACACTGATCTGTCCCGGTACGTTCTTGCCTTCCTCAAGAACTACACTGCCCTAAGCGAGCTGGTGGAGGTCATCTTCAATGATACCTGTGTCGATGCCATGGAGAGGTTACTGAGCTACGGGAGGGCAGCTCTGGAGAGGCAAGGTGAGACCACCCTGACCCTGCCACGGCCACCCCAAAGCCCTGGGGCCAAGCCCTGCCCAACCAGGGCTCCCCTTTGCTCCCATCCCCCAGAGGTGCCCGTGGCCACGGTCTTTGCCCGCACGCCCAGCCCACACCAGCTGCTGCTGGTCTGCCATGTCACCGCCTTCTACCCGCGGCCCATCAGCGTGGCCTGGCTCAGGGATGGCCAGGAGGTGCCTCCG